CGTCAACCACAGATTACACACGCACGCACAAATTATGTTGACTTATCCTGTGATTTATCTTTTACTTTTCTGTTGGCTACGAGAATTTCAATCTTGCTCCTGGTTTGTGGTGTAGATATTATTAAAAAAAAAGATTATTTCTACTGATTCTATCATTACTATTAATATTAGGTATGTGTTAGAATGGACGCGTGGTCGTACAGCGTTTATGAGGTATGTTACATGAACTTGGAGAGTTTCTCTTTCTATCGGCATGTTCTGTTTTATCATCCATCGCACCGTTCAACCGTAGCGATTTTTTTTAATGTATCAGGGAATTACGAATAACCCTGTATAATATTAATAATAATTAGAAACTAAGAAACTCGCTCCATAGACGTATGTCCTTTGTCAAAAGCTGATAGTTGCTTAACAGGTCTACAAGTTTTGCGTCGTTTATGGTACTAAAATGTTCATTATCGTGTTCACAAGAGCCCGCCACCAGTTTCTCTTATAGACGAGATGAGTCGAGATCGCATCGTCATATTTCTTTAATTCTCACTTTTGTATTCTTCGCTCGAGTGGAGTATACACATTAGGTATTTTGTAATAAAAGATTTTTGTTTAGGAGACATTTTGAGAAATGATTTATTACGTCAGGCCAAGTAGAATACGGGTATTTATGAGACCGCTCAGCTGTGCCTGCGTTGTAGTTGCCAGAATTAGTCTCCGGTGCGGAGAGAACGCGGATGCCCTTAAGAGCCGAAGAATTTCAAAAAACAAAAAAAGTAAAAGAACTCGTCCTTTGTTTTGTGGTTTATTTTAAGCGCAGGATAATTTTCTTCGAATCAGGCTGTGAACAAGATCCGCTCCTGCACACTTGCCAGGTTTTCACATAGCACGACGTGCGAACTGTTACCGGACTGAAGCCAATTACCATCATAACCATGCTCAATTCGAATGAAGGTTTCCTACATCAGCGGTACCCAGCTCCGTCTTGATTGCTCGTTTTGTAAGCAAAATTAATTTTTTTTAGAAACACTACGTTCATCTGAACAGCATTTAAGAAGCCGGTCCGTACCGCAAAGAAAACATAACACTTTACCATTACAAAGATCAATTGGTTGACGCTGGTTACATGGAAAAAAACATTCGAAAATCATTTATTCCTGGGATAAAATGCAGAGAGTTATTAAATGGGTTAATACAGTACTACAGAATGCAATATATGCCTGTGTCTAAGCCCCACTCCATGGAAACGTGTGCAAATATGGAAGGAAAGTTCGTCTTATTTGTTACCTACACTCTAGACGGAGGTAAGGGATATTAATAATGATTCGCTCTTCTAGAGAAATAACGAAAGAAGATCTCGCTAAGATTACGTAGAGTAATGGCCACGCTTATGATTTAAATACGGGCCGAAACAATGAAGTTGCTGTTGATATTACCTCAGAGTCATCTTTGCTGCCTTGCAATGGGACCAGACAGCCTTTGTCCATCTTCAGATGACCACTCCGTCTGTAATTGCAACCTGTTGGACGAGGATTACTTTTCTTTTGACGTGGGCAGTGGCGGGATATTACGAGCGTGGTAATAAACCTTAGGATTTCATAAAATGAGAGATATTTCTATGATGAAGTGAGCGACTGTTAGCTTCTCAATATGAATTCCGAAAGTCAATCATTGCGTTGGTTCATTTCCTGGGCCGTGCTGAGCTAACCCACTCCCCACATACAATATTTCCATGTGGTATGTACACACATCGCCAAAAGTGACCCTTCAGATGTTTCGATTCAAAATGTTGTAAACATTTATTATGTCAGTCTTTGCACATGTCTCGTTCTTTGGTCACGGAGTATATGTGGGGACTGTCGGCGTTCATGAAAATATTTGTCTCGAAGATAAGTCATAAAGTTCGTAATACAGCACGTGTTTGACACAGTTAATCTACAGAGAACGTTTAGCTTTAATGGTATAATTACGTTTAGAGAGAAAGGACGATCCAGACACAGATTATGACGTATTATGTTTGCTTTATGTTAATATTTTTATTTTTTTTATTTTAATATTTTCTGTCAAATCACAATTTTAATAAGATAATAAAATATAAAATATTTAAAATATCATTCGATGCGGAACGTGAAATGATATTTTAAATATTTTATATTTTATTATCTTATTAAAATTGTGATTTGACGGAAAATATTAAAATATTAACCTAATTCACAATATGACGTAAATATACTACCTTTGCTTTATGTGTTTTTGCGAGCGGTAGGACATGTCATTCTTCAAGAGGACGGTCTCCGTTGCAGGAGGAAACATTTTGTGTCGGGCTTCGTGAAGCATCTAGCACGTAACGGAGTGATTGTCAAGAACCTATATTTATAGATGGTATTGTAAAACGATATTGAGTGAAAATAATTGAAAAATAAAGAAATAAGTCCAGAGGGCCATTAAATTAGCTGGAAAATACATTGATATCAAGATAGAATAAGTGAGTAGGTTGCTGGCCAGATAGAAAGAATGTTATTATTACCGGCAGTGTTGTAAGGTTCTGCACAGGAATTACTTTCGAATCGTTTTCGTCGGTACCTGATTATACCTGTTGCACTGAATTGAAAGCATCAATCCGGTGTTGCACACGAAGCTGGTAGTTCACTACTCCAGGGTTTTTATATTTGATTTGTTCCACCGCGAACGTAATTTGAAGAATAGTCATCAGTGCGGATTGAAATATTCACCGTTGGTTAGCTTTCTGTAAGCAGCTACGTAGTGGTCGATCAGAAGACCGCATTATATCTTGCTGTTCGTGCAGATACTTCACAGAAACCTCGTAGTCTTGTAATTAGAAGCTACTTTAAGCCGGTCAAATACAGTGTCTTATGTTCTTTTTAATATTATCTTCTCATCAATGTGTAACTTTTCCAAGTGGTTTTATCAGCAATAGTGTTTGAAGCAAAATTTACCGAATGTCGCGGTAGAACGATTGGTACCACTGTGTATTTTCAGCCAACACCCGAATTTGAGACCCGGTTAGACGCAAATTATCCTGATTGGCCTTTCCCGTGATTTTTCTCAGTCAGACGAGGGATGTTGTTGGATAGTATTTATGTAGTACTACTAATATTAATAATAATATATGCGTCTCTTTAGTTACGTTCAAAATAAAATATTTTTTGGTCGTATTCTCAGTTTATCAAAAGTATGTGGTTTTGACTAGGTAGAACTCAGTAATGAAGTCATAAAAGCAGAGTGCGTCATTATATTGGAGCAGACTTATTCAACAAAATTATGTAAATCCAGGAACAGAGCTAGCCTCAGTGAGAGGTTAAAATGTCTAATAAATATAGATAATATCTTTTTAATTATACAGGCATTCTTAAGCAAGTATAGGTACCCCTGTTGCTTATGAGAGTTTATATACTTAATCCGGTTATACGTCTGTGATATCAGAATATTTTTCTTTCTGTTCAAACACAGAACAAAAGTGGCGAAAATACAAGGTGTGTCTGAAACTTTGTGTTTTTTCCTTCTGGCAAACTTAATCTGTATATAAATCAGCGTTTAGGAAAATATTGTATCTTTCAAGAGAGCAAGAAGCAATCTTTAGATACTCTCGCAAAGACCATTTTACCACCAGGATGGTTCACGAGTGCTGTAACGGATGTGTACGAAACTTGGTCTCTAGGAAATTTGCTAAAATTTATTAATACATTCCAATTTCGGCAAAGATCACGCAACAATAAAAGCTGGATAAGACATTATTTCTGCCATATCTTAAATACCCGATTGACCATACTCGTGTCAAAATGAGGTCACGTATGGGTTAACGTCTTGTGGAAGTCACGACAAAATCGGTCCACTAGTTTCCCAGAAAGAGGTCTTTAAAATTTTCAAGGTCATATTTCTCACGATTACGTTAGGTTGGGTTGGGTTAGATTATGTTAGGTTAGGTTGAATTAGGTTAAGTTAGGCTGGGTTATGTTAGGTTAGATTAGTTTAGGTTGAGTCTAGCTAGGTTATGTTGCTTTGGGATAATTAAGGTTAGTTTAGGGCAGGTTAGATCAGTACGTGTAGGATTAGGTTAGATTACGTGATACCAGTGTCGCTGATATTTCGATATTATATTTTATACATCAGTGGTCCCAACCTTTTTGTGCCTGTAGGCACCCCCTCGCTGCCCCGGGTGCCAACCGTAGGCACCCCCTAGCCGCCCCTGGTGCCAACCGTAGGCACCCCCTAGCCGCCCCTGGTGCCAACCGTAGGCACCCTCCCGCCCCGGGTGCCAACTGTAGGCACCCTTAAAAGGGCACCCCCAAAAAAACCTCCCCGCGAAGGGAGGTGGAGGCCCAGGCCGATCCTTGAGCGAGCAGAGGCGCGGACCCGGCTCCTGACAATGGCCCGGGCTTTGCACTTGCACGCTACGGAAAATAGGACCTTGTAGGCGAGGTAAGTTCTCCAACTCTTTCGACTAACCGACCTGGCAACAGATCTTGTCTGCAGGATATAGCAAGAGCTTAATAAGAGTAGGTATGATAAAAGGACCATCAAAATTCGAAAATAGTACCAGCAACGGAAGCGCGGTCATTGATATCGAATAATTCCGAAAGGGGGGCTCAACCCCAGCGGCCGAGTGGTCTTAGGAAATTAAAACAAATCTCTTAAAGCACATAATAACCTCTTGCGCCCTCTTTGCGGGATGGCGCTTGTGGTGGGTTCCTTTGTTCCCGCACAGAGGACGCTGCCATTCATTTTATGTTTTTGAGGTTTTTTTAATTCTCCGTCCCTTAGTTATCTCTGCCGACAAGCGTTGACGAGTTTTTCATCTTTGGTTTTCCCTGCGTGCTCCGCGAAACTTGTCAGGTCACCGGATCCGAGGTTTCTTCCGGACCAGTCGACTTTCCCTTTGCGGTTGTATGTCTCCTGCCCCGGTACAGTGCGTATGTGTTCAGTCTTTACGTAAGTCGGCCATTTTGTTAAATACGTCTCAGCTTGTGTTTGTGTGGACGATGGTAATTTGAATTCGCGTAAGGCTTTAGCCATCTGGTGGTTTTTGTAAAAATTTGGCTGCGAATATTTTTATGGCATTTTCTGGTCGACCAGTAATCGCGGCGTTAAAAGCAATTATCTAGTTTCTGATTTTTATTCTTACAGTTTGCACGTTTAATTAAGTACTCAGTGTTCTTTTGACCCAGTCTGAGGTTGATACGAGGGCTTCAGATGTGTTCAATTGGGCTTGTTATGGGGACGGTTTGATATTACGCGTGAGTTAGTGCTGTTTTGGTGTATGTTAATTTGAACTCTCGTAAAGAATCAGCCGTTTGGTGTATTTGTTAAAATTTGGTAGTTTTGTTGGATTTGGGGTAATGCAAATGTTCCATAATTCTGTAGATCGTCATTTTCACTGTCTGTTTCTGCATTAGTGTACGGTTGATATCGAGGCTTCAGATGTGTTCAATTGGGCTTGTTATGGGACGGTTTGATACTACGCGTCAGTGTTTGTTAGTGTCGAAGGTAATTAGAACGCTGGTTAAGTGAGGCTTTTAGGATTTCTCCATATGCTAAATATTTTATTGCAAATTAATGATGTTGTTATATGGAAACTGTTTGTTAGTTTTTTTTTTAAGAGTTTCCGACATCCGGACCATCACCACAACCCCCGAACCTGTGGGGCGGAGTTACCTAATATCGTCTTAATTGGCGAGATTTGTTGTAAAGTTTCAGTGTTGTGAGGTGGTTGTGAAATCGGTACCTTGGTCTAGAAAAGTGAGTAAACAAGATAAGATTATTTTGCAAATATGAAGTTTATTTATTCTTTAAATAAACTGTAAATATGACGAAGTAAGATATGCAGGAAGTTTATCTACTATATTATGAAATAATAAGTTCTTAATTGGACTGCGTCTGTTACATTTTAACTTGTTTTAAAATTACTACGTCTGGGAAGTTTTTCTGTACGGTAGTATGAAGATGATATCTCAACCCACAGACCCTGTGCCACGTGTGGCCCACATACATGTTTTAATACTTTTCATTCTGTTTTTGATGAAAATTGTTAGCAGCGATCAGAAAACAAGATTTGTGATTTTTGTCAGTATTTGACAGTAACTGTTACTGTAAACAAGACATCTACGCATTAGGCTTTGCAGTTTTGTTCTCTGCGTGAGTCTTACGTAATTTTCCATCTTCCTCCAGGGGCATTGATTTATGGATATCACCGATGCAGGGACTTGTATTAAAACCTTTTATTATGTTAAATGATTGCATCGCCATTTACCAAGACACACGGTCTCTCTCATTACCTGTGCAGTTTTGCTGAAACATGCAGACAGAAACCATTGTCTTTACATAGATTTCAGATAGATACCTGCTGTTAACACATGCAGTTTCATGTTACATGTCTTCAGAGAACCGAAATTAATTTCAAGTTTACCGTTTTCTACTCAAATGTGCAATTTCTTGCTTGAGGTAAGTTGCATACCTAACACTTGTGTTGTGTATACAGGGTGTTTAAACAAATAGATATATAATGCATCCAGATAAACGCGTAAGTGTATTTTTATTTCGAGGTTCATTCGCTGTCAGTACATTGAAATAAATTATATGTGTATTCAGTACTTTGATGACATGTTTGTGATATGAGCACTGTTTTATATTTTATCTTTGTTTCTATGTTATCCAATTTTATATGAAATGAT